TCCATCCATTCTGCGACTGGTGTGACACCAAACCAATTGCAGTATGGATGGCCTATGCGTAATCCCCTCTCCTATCTGTTCCCCGAACGGTCACCTGGTCTGATGCCCGGCATGCATGGCTACAATGCCAAGTACGCACGCTTGCTCAAAGTTGCTACAACGGCTATGAACAAGCGCCAGCATGCCATGATCAAACATGCCAATAAGCTGCGCAAAGAAGAAAAATTCAAAGTGGGGGATTATGTTTGGGTCAAAATGTCTGAGTTTTCTGATGAAGAGGGCATATCACGGAAGCTTCTTCCACTGTACTACGGCCCTTGGCAGATTCTGAAGGTAGTCGGGGATGAATTCGGTCCTTCGTACGTGATTGACGTGCCCCCTCGCCTGCGCACGTATCCAGTCTTCCATGCCTCCAAACTGTTCCCACACATTGATGATGAGACTTTTCCCTTCCGTGACCCTATGATACCTCGCCCTATTGACGGCGGCCATGAGATTGACAGAATCATTTCTCACGAGGGGAGGGGGAGGAACAGACAATACAAAGTTCGTTTCCTCTACCACCCGTTGAACGAATTCTTCTGGATCGACCGAAACGAACTGATAAAGAGTCCTCCACGTGTCGTGAACGCATATGAACGACAGATTGTTGACGGACAGACCTCTAAGTTTGCTGCAAAACTCACTCCGTTCAAACTCACTAACACTCTCTTTTTGATCTATGCCTATGACGCCTTCTGTGCCGACTCTGACTGAGTTACTCGCTCGAAGGGACCTCACTCTCGAGAGGGGAGTAATGTAATGACCCGCCCAAAACACAGACTGAGAACACTGCTGATTTCTGGGATTTGTCAATGGAATGAATGCCTTGTTGTGATTCCCGCATTCTGTTGTGGTCCCAAGTCTGTGTGTGTGTGTGCCTGCTGGTTTGCATGCCTGTCTGAGTGCTTGCCGGTTGTGTGTGTGTGCGTGCGTGCTGGGTTGTGTCTGAGTGCTTGCTGGTTGGGTATGTGTGTCACCCGCCAGGGTACTTGTTGGTTGCAAGGCCCACCGGGCCAGTACTTACCTGTGGCCGTGACTTTGAAGGGTTGCAGGGGGGGTAAACATGCCGGTAGCGGGGAGTAGGCCCACGACACTTAGAGAAGCTGGGGAAAAACACTCAAGTAGCAGGTAGGCCGAGCAGAAGAAGAGAAAAATTTGGCATTTTTAGAGGTCCGGTAGCGGTAGGTTGGAGGTAGGCCGGTACCAGTCCAAGTAGCCCGGGTCTAGGGCCTGTGCGGACAATAACAGAGCCTGCAATGATGATTCCCTCCAAAAGGGAGGAGGTACCGGTTGCTGGGAGGCCGCTTGGCCTAGGAAGTCACCGCCCAGGAGGCCGGTAGGCCGCTATATCTTCAGGAAGAGCGGTGAGCTCTTCCTCATTTGCGGTATGCAAGGATTGGCGACATGCTGCTGGAGCGCAGCGCTGGTCTGAGGCAGCGCTGCTTGGAGGTGAAGGTCTGCTGGGGCTATGGCGAGCACCCCAGCTTGAAGGAGGAAGAAGGGGGACATGGTAGGAGAGTGGTAGGGCACATACCTGACTATGGTGGACACCGTCTTCATTACATTGTTGGGCGCTGCATCTGGAAGGCCCCAGTTGGGGTAACGCTACACCAGGGCAGCTMGAGGCAGGGTCAGGCATAGCGACCAAGTCAAGCAGCGATATAGCTGCTTTGTGTTCTCTTTCGGGCATCAGGGCAGCATCATAGCTGCCTTCCAGTAGTCCGCCATGGCCCATGCTTGAGAGAAGAGGTTGAAGGAGGGAAGACATAGCCATGGTGGACTTGTTGTTGTTGTTGTTGTTGTTGTTGTGAGTTGAGTCAGCAGTAAGGGGGAACTTCGGACATTGATTCTGGTTCTCCCATTCATTGTTATTATTATTGTTGAGAGAAGAATAAGATTGGTGAAGAGAAGGAAGGAGGAAGGTGGAGAGAGAAGGGGGAATTGTCATTGGTCTTGCTGGTGTACTTCTTCTTCTTCTTCTTCTTCTTCTTCTTCTTTACCTCTCTTCTGGTCTTTATCTCTTGGAAGTGCTTTCATTTCTTTCGCAATTGGGTGGCATTGTCTTTCATTGTAAATTTGCACTTGGGAAATGACCAGGATCGTAACAGTAGGGAGACTTGTAATGTGCTGATATGTCTATATGACGATACAAGTAGGGTTTCATGACGATCACGTGTAACACGCTATAATCATGGGATAGCGCAATGCTCACCTGTTGTGGCACGGCGACCGGCTGATAAACTGTGTGGCGCTTATGCATCGTGATGACTCTCTGATTGGCTAAATCTGCTCAAAGGGACTGGTGTGCTTCTCTGGGGGCATACTCACACTCGCACTTTCCAGAATGCATTTGACTGCAATGACGGCCAGACGTGGATGAATGTGATCGTAATCACGTCCGGGGCTCAGCCGAAAAAGTCCTAGTGTTAGTATCCCATGATTCGGTAAGGAATGATTTTCCGGGAGGCGGTCGTATTTCTGCACGGTGGATTGATGAGCTGCCAGTGATCAAGGCGACAAGCTATGCCGATCTGCTATGGCAACCAGAGTTGGGAGTGCACTGCGTAAATGCTAATAAGAGACCGTGATCAGCTCCAGTGACGAGCTATGGTGACAGGCATGGTGATTAGCTACGGTGCTAAGATATTGTGGTGAGAACCTACGGTGATGAGATACCTTTTCTTTGTTCTTTTTTTCTCACCATCTTTCGGGTCCCAACAGGCATAAGCACACTCAAACCTCTCAACTCAGAACAGATACTACACTTGATCTCAGCCAAAAGGCCGATAAAGATATACGGTGATGATATAGACCAGCAACGATGATAATTAACGATGATGAGCACTTTGATGAGTTATGGTGATGAGCTATCGTAGCTATGGAGAGGAGCTATGGTGGTGAGCTCGTGAGGTGCAGTCAAGGCGATGAGCTGCATTGATACACAGCGACGAGCTACAGTTGCAAATATGAGCTAACTTTTTCCCCGGCTACCATCCCCCACCCCCTCGAGTGCCTTTGTATCGGAAAAGAATCTGCAGACCCTCATGATGATGGAGGGCTTATATCCCAGCATGCATGATGACTGTATTTGAACCAAAGAGGCTTTGTCTTCATTATGATACGGCGTCATGTTCGGGGGAAGACATAAGCCCAACTATGTTTGAAGTGATGAGCTAGCTATGCTTTTATTGTGATGAGGCAACAAGCGACAAGCGATCAGCTGTATGATGTCCACTGACGAGCTGCTGGTGCCTTGCGCTGGGGTTTAACAAATTCTGATGATAAGCTGTCGGGATTGGTCAACTACCGTGACGATCTGGGGTGATGCTGCAATGAGTACACAGTGATGTCCTGAGAAATGCCAAGCATTGGTCCTGCAGTGCGGTAAGAACCGACGGAACAGTCTGTGACAGCCCCCCGTTTGTTGTCCTCTAATCCCTTTGTGCCCGGTGAACCGTAGGCACAGAGGGAAAAGAAGATAACAAACGTGGGGCTGCGACAGGTAGACTGCTTCGTCGAAGTTTTATACGTATGTATCGTCATCGGGAACGGCCCGGTGAACTGTAGGCAGAAGGGAGAAGGAAAAAAAAAAAACGACATTAAACGGGGGGCGCAGTGTGCAATCTCTATAGCCTAATGTGATTTTGAATGGTGTTACGATCCTGGTCATTTCCCAAAACCAAATTCACAATGAAAGACAATGCCACCCAATTGCGAAAGAAATGAAAGCACTTGCAAAGAGATAAAAGACCAGAGGAGAGGGAAAGAAGAAGAAGAAGAAGAAGAAGAAGAAGAAGAAGAAGAAGATATACACCAGCAAGACCAATGACAATTCCCCCTTCTCTCTCCACCTTCCTCCTCCTTCACTTCACCAATCTTATTCTTCTCTCAATAATAATAATAACAATGAATGGATGAACCAGAACCAATATCCGAAGTTCCCTCTTACTGCTGACTCAACTCAACAACAACAACAACAACAACCAGTCCACCATAGCTATGGCTTCCCTCCTTCAGCCTCCTCTCTCATGCATAGGTTGTGGCGGACTAATGAGGGCCTTGCCCTGACGTCCAAAGGACAACCGAAAGCAGCTATGGTGCKGCGCTGATGTCCAAAGGACAACCCAAAGCAGCTATGCCGCTGCTGACTGGTCCGCCATGCCTGACTTGCCTCGAGCTTCCTTGGTGCAGCACTACCCCAACTGGGGCCTTCCAGATGCAGCGCCCAACAAGGTGATGAAGCTGGTGTCTACCATAACCAGGTAAGTGCCCCGCCACTCTCCTACCATGCCCCCTTCTTCCTCCTCCTCAAGCTGGACTGCTCGCCATAGTCAAGCGGAGCTCCAGCTGCCCTTCACCTCCAAGCAGTGTTGTACCAGTCCAGTGCTGCGCTCCAGCAGCATGTCGCCAATGCTTGCACACCGCAAATCAGGAAGAGCTCTTTGCTCTTCGTGGAGATATAGCTGCCTACCGGCCTCCTGGGCGGTGACTTCCTAGGCTGAGCGGCCTCCAAGCAACAGGTACCTCCTCCCTTTTCGGAGGGAAACATCATTGCAAGCTCTGCTATCCTCCGTACAGGCCCTAGACCCGAGCTACTTGGACTAGTACCGGCCTACCACTATCCTACCGCTACTGGGCCTCTAAAAATGCCAACTTTTTGTCTTCTTCTGCTC